ACTTATTTATGAACACCTTTAGAATATTTAAACAAATATACTAACCTTATCGACCTCCCACCATGCATGATAAAGTTTAGCTTGTCCATTAGCCAACACATATGATTCCTTTCATTGATTCTTCAAGTGAACTACGTGAAAAGACGTCGGCATAATTGTATATCGCGTTTTTTTAATATTTTTCTTCAATTTCCTTACAATTAGGAGACGTGTCACCCATGCATCAATATGATGTTTTACAAAAAAAGACATATATTAGTGAATTACATAAATTTAAAAAAAAATTAATCAAACTGAAATATAAGAAATATAAGACTTACCCCCCATCGAAATAGCCGTTGTCTTCAACCCCTAATAATACACCCCACCAAGACCGTTCAATCAACAAATGCATATCATCGTTGAGTTTGTATATGTCAGCGTAACACCCTTGGCTCCGCTCATGTAGATAAAAATCAATTGCGGTCTTAGCCCAAAGGGTATTATCCAGAATTGTTTCCGGTAGTTGTTTCCTCTCCACTTCATCTGCCGGAATGGTACTGGCCGATAACTTATACGAAAGCCAACAGTCATCCATCATGTCCGGCACGTGAGGGGGCTTCTCAATAATTCGATATATTACGCCGTGTAAATCGGGCTCTAGAATGTTGGGAGGGACCTCTTCAACGATGACAGTGGCCTCTTGAACGGTGGGAGGGGACTCTTGAGGGATGATAGGGGCCTCTTGAACGATAGGGGAGGCCTCTTGAATGATGACAGGTGAGTCGGGCTTTTTCTTACGGATTCTTCGCACTATTGGGGTGAACGGAGACGTAATGACACGTGCACACCGTCTGATGCGTGAACTCCGTTTTGCAAAAAAAACTCGACGTAGAGCATCCACCTTAGCGGACCGCTAAAAATAAATTAATACATAAATCAGTAAATAAACAGACATGATATTAAATAGTGAGAACAAAGACAAATATATTTCAAACTTGCACGGTATTCACCCAAGTCATTATTATATCATTGTTCACAAAATGCATCAGATAACATTCAAGAAGTAAGCACTTATATAAACATTTAAAAGGACAACATATAGGTTTAGTGCAGGTTCAATGACAACATAAAGAGTAGTAGTTTATTCTTGAAACTTAAATTTTCAACACTGTGAAGTTAGTATTTGTCTTTTGGTTGAAGTAATGCAATTCATTCAAGTTTCAATTTGCAGAAGAAGAATAGAATCTGAAACTTAAAATCGCAACGCGAAAATGACTATCGCAATGCGAAAATGACTATCGCAATGCGAAAATGACTATCGCAACGAGAGAATCGCAATGCGAAATGAAAATCGCAATGCGATTATAGTTTCGCGTTGCGATTTTGTCGTTGCGATTTTGGTTTCGCGTTGCAATTCTCTCGTTGCGATTCATTTCACGTTGCGATAGTCATTTTTCACGTTGCGATTTTAAGTTTCATGTTGCGAAAGTAAACTATTTCTTCTTCTACAAATTGAAACTTGAATGGATTGTATTACTTCAACCAAAAGACAAAACAAAGACAAATACTAACTTCAGAGTATTAAAGAATACACAGTTTAGTAGAATTGATAGCAACCGAACAAATTTACTTTCAACCAAAAGAAAAAACAAAGACAAATACTAACTTCACAGTGTTAAAGAATACACAGTTTAGCAGAATTGGCAGCAACCGAACAAATTTACTTTCAACCAAAAGATAAAACAAAGACAAATACTAACTTCACAGTGTTAAAGAATACACAGTTTAGCAGAATTGACAGTAACCGAATAAATTTACTTCAACCAAAAGACAAAACAAAAGACAAATACTAACTTCATAGTGTTAAAGAATAAACAGTTTAGTAGTATTGGCAGCAACCGAATAAATTTACTAAGCAATCTAAGTGAAATGGTTAATCTAAGTGAAATTACGAGTAAATTTATCATCAAGTTAAATATGGAAAATCTTAAACTTACCTCGTTTCGTAGAGTATGAACCTCATTCTGTAACGATACTACCATCTCACGTAGAGCGGCAACCTCACCACGTAAAGTAGACACCTCCACACGCCATGCACCATCGTTATCGCGTAGAGCACCGATCTCCTCACGCAAGGCATTGACCTCATCACGTAACTCCCTTGACTCATCCCGTGGAGGTGGAGAACAGGGAGATAGAAGTCGTGGCATTTTTGCCGGTCGCCTATCATGAGGTGATGGTGGAGAAGAGGCTCGATGATGTGACGGGATAGGTGATGGCTCTCGTTGTAGAGGTGTATAGTCGGGTCGATCAGGTGATGGCTCTGGGTGAGGTGATGGCTCTCGAAGTGGAGGAAGTGGAGGCTGCTCATCATTCGTGCCATCAAAAAACCGCTGACTAGCTTTCCACCAATCAGTGGCAAGCTCAACCTCCGTGGGTGTCAGTCTCTGTAATGGAGTGTTGGCCTCCTAAAAATATAAAAACTCAAACAAAGTTAAACGTCTACTATTAATAACTTGTTTATATATGATAGTATTTGTGTTAACTTACATTATTTATTGTCGCATATGGTATTAAGTCTTCCCAATCCAACAGACATTTCCTCTTCCAGGAAATAGCCCTAGGAATATCATTTGAACTTTTTAATGCATATGTTCGCATGCTGGGGAAAGCCTCGAATATCCAAATCTACAAACAATATAATAACAAACATTAGTAATTGTTAAATAATTAATTATAATTTTGAAAACATTATATAGAAATTCTTACCTTAAAGGCCCAAACAAAGCCTGACAAAGTGTATTTCGACCCATCGCCACGCAAACTTTTGCGGTCATCAAAGGCAGACGACAACTTAGTCCAGGTAGCTTTCCATATATACGAACCCCATGAAAACAGATTCCATGCATTTAGTTCCTCTACCAATAATATTAGCTCCTGAGGAATAGGTTGTCTGGCCTCTCTGTCTAAAAAGCCGGCATACAAAAGTACTAGAAGGCATACTCGGACAACATCGACGTCATTCATCTGAGTAAAACCATCTTTCTTATTAAACAATTTCTTCAGGTCGTCGACGTGTAAGTTCGGCTTCTCTATTGACTCATCAGGAAAAACCCGGGATAACCATGATGGGCGGTGATATGACGAGTATACCGGCCTACATCATCGTGTCCGAATCGTAGACCAGTGATTAAGCAGGACCTCTTCCGCCCAAAACAAGTATACGCCGATGGAAAATGAAATCATATCTCTTCCTCACCACGTTGTATACTGTCGGGTAGATCGCTAGTCATGGTCTGAAGCCACAAATGGGTCAAATTAGCATCTCCACCCAGATGCTGTACTCTCAGCCATGGCCCGAAGCAGGTTTCCTCAAAAAAATTTCTTTGTGCAAGTGAAGGCTTCGAAGCAATTGTAGTGGCTAGGCTAACTTTATTCCTTAATGTCAATGAAGCCGAAAAAAATTTCTACAAAAACAATAAACATACCAAGTTAGATATACCAAAAACTACACTGTGAAGATATACCAAAAACAATAAACATAAAGAGTAGTAGTTTATTCTTGAAACTAAAATTTGCAACACTGTTTTGTCTTTTGGTTGAAATGAAAATCGCAACGAGAGAATGACTATCGCAATGCGGAAATGACTATCGCAACGAGAGAATCGCAACGCGAAATGAAAATTGCAACGAGAGAATCGCAACGCGAAATTAAAATCGCAACGCGAAATGAAAATCGCAATGCGATTTTGGTTTCTCGTTGCGATTTTCATTTCGCGTTGCGATTCTCTCGTTGCGATTTTCATTTCTCTCGTTGCGATAGTCATTTTCGTGTTGCGATTTTCATTTTCATGTTGCGATTTTAAGTTTAGAAACTATTCTTCTTCTGCAAGTTGAAACTTTAATGGATTGCATTACTTCAACCAAAAGACAAAACAAAGACAAATACTAACTTCACAGGGTTAAAGACTAAATAGTTTAGTAGTATTGGCAGCAATCGAATGAATTTAATAAGAAATCTAAGTGAAATTGTTAATCTATTATTGAAATTACCAGTAAACTTATCATCAATTTCAATATGAAAAACCTAAAATAATGCAAAAATTTCAAAATAAAAATAATTAAAAAACTAACCCTCGGAGGTTGATTTTCCATTTCTGAATGATTGTGAGGGATTTCTGACCGTGAATGGTTGTGAGGGATTTCGCTGGAGATGGGGACGGAAATCTTCGGAGATGGGGACGGATTTCGCCGTAGAGAGTGAGAGATGGAGATGGGACTGAGTTGCGATTTTAGGTTTTAGGTTATGAGTTGCGATTACGGGATATACTGTGGACGGTTCAGTGTTCCGATAATTAATATTCGTGTTTGGAATTTGAAAATAAAATACGCTTAGCGATTCTAAAGGCGCTTTAAAAATCGCGTTGCGATTTACGGATACGCGTTGCGATTTTACGTATTGTCGTTGCGATTTTACGTATTGTCGTTGCGATTTACGGATGCGCATTGCAATTTACGTATTCTCGTTGCGATTTACGGATGCGCGTTGCGATTTACGTATTTTCGTTGCGATTTATGGATACGCGTTGCGATTTTACGTATTGTCATTGCGATTTTACGGATACTCGTTGCGATAGTCAGAATCGCGTTGCGATTTATATGTTCGCGTTGCGATTCTGAAAAATCGCAATGCGAATTTGTACTATCGTATTGCGATTCTGGAGATCGCGTTGCGATTTTTATTTCGCATTGCGATTTTATTGGTCATTTTGGCAAATCCAAAAAAAGTTGGTTAAAATCGTATATTATAAGGCATTTTTTGTCACTGAGGTTATTTTCTCTAATAAAAATTCATATGGGACAGATACAAATAAAATTTCAGGGTGACACTTTTAGTAAAATGAACAACTGATATAAAAAAATTTGAATTCCATGGTGGGCACAATAAAATTTTAGGATGGACACATTTAATAAAATGAACGGCTAATATAAATAAATTCAAATTTCAGGGTGGACAGATGCCTACATGGGATGTACATGCATCCGCCCGTGTGTTCAGTACTCAACGCCAAGCTTTGGGGCTACTCGATGGCCTTCGTTCAGCTTGGGATTATGGCATTCAACGGATCCTAGTCGAGATGGATAATGTGGAAGCTGTCAAGTTAATTACGAACCCAAGCCAGAGCAATAATTCTACTATTATAAGAAGGATCCAGAGCTTAATAAACTATAGCTGGTCAGCCATGTTCAAGATTGCCTCCCGTGTTGTTAATGGTGCAGCAGACGCTCTCGCTCGAAATGGCTTTGAGGAAGAGTCAGGCCTCTTGCTTTGGAATGCTCCGCCCCCGTTCATGGACGCTTTTCTCCAAGCAGATCAGCAGGCTTGGAGAGGAAACTCTGATCACTGCTAGCTTTTTTACTCTCTTGTTACCAAAAAAAATAAAAAATTTAAATGTACATATTACAATTTTGTTTTCATCAGTGAATTATAAAAAAATAGCATTATAGCATTAAATCTTTTGGATTTATTTTTATTCATTTGAACATTAAATTTAAAATAGTTGGATGATGTAATTTTTTACACTGATGTGAAAGTTAATTATTTTACATTTTATGTAATGTGATAATTTTTTCTATTCATTTTACTTTTAAAAGGAATTTATTAGTTTTTTCCCTATTTGTTAGAATCATTGTTCTCTTATATATTCTTTAGTATTTCTAAACATTGATAAATTTATCTCATTGTTCTCTATTGCTTTATCAATTTAACTTTTTTTTTAATTTTATTTAAAAATCATGAAATTTAACATATAAAATCAATAAATTATAGGGGTTCATCGAATTTGAAGGGTTTACAGTGTGTGCTTGCAAATTGCAATGGTGAAAAGCATCCATCTACGATCATTACCTAGTAGCTCATGAACTGTTCATTATCTCAAATCATATTCGATGGGTTCATCACGAGGGGCAGCTATCAAGTTAGATATGGAAAAGGCATATGATTGTGGTCGTATTTACAGTCAATGCTTCATCGTCTTGGTTTTGATGCGTGATGGATCTCTCTTGTAATGTCTTGTGTGACATCGGTGTAAGGTATGGCTCATAAATATACCGGTAAACAAAGAAAGTCTTGTAGAGGGGGTTACGATTATGTGGGTTGGGGGTGCGGGGGCTGCGCCCCGCGGTACGGTACATGGTTAATTTTGTAATTATGTACCAGGGTTTTCTATTATAAATAGAGATGTAACCTAAACCTATGAGAATTGAATAAAATTTTCTAGCACCGCCTAGGCACCGAGGACGTAAGCACATTGCCGAACCTCGTTAAAATTCTTGTGTTCTTTCATTTGCTTTGCCCGATTTATCAACAATTGGTATCAGATGTCAGGAGCAAAATTCGAAGTTGCGAAATTTGATGGTCTGGGTAACTTCGGATTATGGCAAACGAGGGTGAAGGATCTGTTGGCGCAGTAGGGGATCCTGAAGGCTTTGCGACCTACAAAGCTGGCGTCGATGGAGGAGGAAGATTGGGAAGAATTGCAACAACGAGCGGCAGGAACCATACGATTATACTTGGCGGACGAGGTTATGTATCACGTCATGCATCTATCGTCTCCAGACGAAATTTGGAGGAAGTTGAAAAGTCAATTTATGTCCAAATCCTTAACGACAAAACTGTATCTAAAGCAGCGGTTGTATGGGCTGAAGATGCAGGACGATCATGATTTAGCGCAACACGTGAATGTCTTCAATCAAATCGTTTCTGATTTGGCTCGGCTTGATGTAAAAATTGAGGATGAAGACAGAGCGATGATTTTGTTGTGTTCGTTGCCTCCCTCTTATGAACACATGGTGACTACTCTTACATATGGGAAAGAGACTATCAACGTTGAGGAGATTACTGCAGCCTTGTTGGCTCACAACCAGCGGAAGCAGAATGCAGGGGAAAACTCTCAAGCCGATAGCTTATATGTCAAGGGTAATCGAGACCGTGGACGGAAGCCAGAGAAGGTAGGGTCTGGCAAGCGGAATTCCAGATCCAAATCTAGGGATAAGAAGATAATTCACTGTTACAAGTGCAAGGAGGCGGGACATATGAAGCGAGACTGTCCGAAGTTGAAAAAGCAGACTGATGAGAAGTGTGATGTTTCATCCAAGTCTGTGAACGTGGTCGAGGATGACAATTCTGATTGCAGTGAGGGTGATATGCTTTCTATTTCAATGACTCAATTGACGGATGCGTGGATTCTTGATTCTGGATGTTCTTATCACATCACGCCAAATAGGGAATGGTTTTCGACATATAGGTCGGTTAATTCTGGTTCTGTTTATTTGGGTGATGATCGATGTTGCAATATTGTTGGTATTTGTGATGTCAGAATTAAGATGTATGATGGCTTTGTTCGGACGTTGAGTGGTGTTCGACATATCCCAGATTTGAAGAAGAATTTGATTTCTTTGGGCACTTTGCACAAGAATGGTTTTATCCCTAAGGCTGATGAGGATAGGGAAACCATTCGGATTGTTAAAGGTGCTTTGACTGTGATGAAAGGAAAGATGACTGCAGGAAATATTTATAGATTGTTAGGGAGTACCGTTGCAGGTGGAGTTCATTCTGTTGAGTTATGTGATGATACTACAAAACTGTGGCATATGCGTCTTGCTCATCTTAGTGAACGTGGTATGACAGAATTACACAAAAGAAATCTGTTGCATGGTGTCAAAAGCTGTAAGCTCGATTTTTGCAAGTATTGTGTTCTTGGTAAACAGACTAAAGTCCGTTTCAAGACTGCGAGGCACACAACTCAAGGGATTCTTGATTATGTGCATTCTGATGTATGGGGGCCTTCCATGACATCGTCTTTGGGTGGATCTAGGTATTATGTTACTTTTATTGATGATTTTTCACGGAAAGTTTGGGTGTATTTTTTGAAACAGAAATCTAAAGTTTTTGAGAAGTTCAAGCTGTGGAAAGCTGAGGTAGAAAACCAAACAGGACGAAAAATCAAGTGTTTGCGGTTTGACAATGGTACGGAGTACACAGATTCACAGTTCTTACACTTCTGTAAGGAGCACGAGATTAAGAGACATTTTATAGTGCGCAAAACACCACAACAGAATGGTGTTGCGAAACGGATGAATAGGTCATTGAATGAAAGAGCCAGATGTTTGCGATTGAATGCGGGGCTTCCCAAACACTTCTGGGCCGAGGCTGTTAACATGGCGTGTTATCTTATCAACTGATCGCTAATGGCATCATTGGCTGGGAAAGTTGCAGAAGAGGTATGGACTGGTCATGATGTTAGTTTTGATAACTTACGGATTTTTGGTTGTCCTGCTTATGTACATGTACCTGCTGATGAGAGATCCAAACTTGATGCAAAATCGAAGGAGTGCATTTTTCTGGGTTACAAGAAAGGTGTCAAAGGATTCAAGTTCTGGGATTCAGTTGCGAAGAAAATTGTGATCAGTAGAGATGTTATTTTTGATGAACAATCCATGTTGCAACAGAAGAAAGACACGACAGTGGTGGATTTCGAGCAGTTTCCAGTTGAGAAACCAGAAACTTCTCAATCGACTTCTGGTGGTTCCACTATGGATGATTTGTAGGATTATAGTCTCGCCAGAGATAGGGTGAGACGGACGAATATAAAGCCTCCGAGTAGATTGGGTTTTGAAGACTTGGTCTCTTTTGCACTTATTGTTAGCAGTGATGATCCGGTTAATTTTCATGATGCTGTTAACGACAAGTTGATGGCAGCCATGGTTGAGGAGATGGAGTCTTTGAATCACAATCGTACATGGGAGTTGGTTCGCCTTCCTGAGGGTAAAAAGTCGATTGGTTGCAAATGGGTGTACAAGAAGAAACCAGCAGTAACAGAAAAAGAGGGGGAGAAGTTCAAGTTCAAGGCTCGTTTGGTAGCAAAGGGTTTTTCACAGCAGAAAGGAGTTAATTATGATGAAAACTTTTCTCCTGTGGTCAGGCACACTTCAATCCGAGCAGTACTTGCATTGGTAGCCAATTGGGATTTGCATTTAGAGCAGATGGATGTTAAAACTACTTTTTTGCATGGTGATTTAGAGGAGAAGATCTACATGCGGCAACCTGAAGGTTTCACTCAATATGGAAACGAGAATTTAGTTTGCAGATTGAAGAAATCTTTGTACGGGTTGAAACAGTCTCCGAGACAATGGTATAAACGGTTTGACACCTATATGATCAAGATTGGCTACAACCGATGTGAGTATGATTGTTGTGTCTATGTTAAGAGCCTTGATGATGGTTCTTTTATTTTTCTATTACTGTATGTTGATGATATGTTGATTGCTGCGAAGAACATGGATGATGATATCGGTTTGAAAACTTTATTGAGTCAGGAATTTGATATGAATGATTTAGGTGCTGCAAAGAAAATTCTTGCAATGGAAATTTGCAGGGACAGAGACTCAAGGAAACTGTGGCTATCTCAACGGGGTTATGTTGAAAAAATGCTAGAAAGGTTTGCGATGAGCAGAGCAAAACCAGTTAGCACTCCATTGGCGAACCACTTTAAGCTCTCATCAGAACAGTTCCCTAAGACAGATAAGGAAGCTGAAGATATGGCAAAGGTTCCGTATTCTAATGTTGTTGGCTGCTTGATGTATGCAATGGTATGTACTCATCCTGATTTAGCTCATGCTGTTAGTCAAGTTTGTAAGTACATATCTAAACCTGGTAAGCAACATTGGGAAGCAGTCAAGTGGATATTTCGATACTTAAAGGGTACTGTGGGACATGGAATTGTTTTTGGTAGTCAACGAGATAATCCTTTGGTTGTAGGATATGTGGATTTAGACTATGCAGGTGACTTGGATAATAGAAGATCTACGACAGGGTATGTTTTTACTCTTGGTGGAGGACCTATTTGTTGGAAGTCTACTGTTCAATCTGTAGTGGCACTATCTACAACTGAAGCTGAGTACATGGCAGCGGCTGAAGCTGCAAAAGAAGCTTTATGGCTCATTGGTTTAGTGAAGGAGTTGGGTGTTCAGCAAGATGGAGTTCAGCTGCTTTGCAACAATCAAAGTGCTATTCACTTAGCTAAGAATCAGGTATATCGTGCTAGAACTAAGCACATTGATGTACGTTTTCACAAGATCAGAGAGTTGGTTGCATCTGAAGAGATTTTGTTTCAGAAGGTACACACTGATGAGAATGCCGCTGATATGTTCACCAAGCCAGTTACGACAGACAAGTTCAAGCATTGCTTGGACTTGTTGAATGTTTCAAGTTGTTAAAGAACTAAGGCAACCCAACCCACATTGAATGTTTCCTAAGGGGCAGGATATTCGTCAAGGTGGAGATTTGTAAGGTATGGCTCATAAATATACCGGTAAACAAAGAAAGTCTCGTAGAGGGGGTTTTGATTAT